ATAACAAGTAAAATTATAGAAGTTCACTGACAGCTCAGAGGAGGGAGTGGTTAGCTCTATCCAAAGAGTCAAGAAAGGTTTCACATAGTAGATGCAAACTCAGAGTTAAAAGCAAATTTAAGTCAGATGTGCTGGCACACACCTGTAGTACCAGAACTCTGGAAGGTTGAGGCAGGAAGATCATAAGTTCAAGCCCAGCCTGGGCTATTTAGCGATGTAGCAAGACCCCATCTCAAAATAGATTAAAAAGAAGGCTGGGGTGTTGCTCAGCAAAGATCCTAGGTTCACTCCCCAGTACTGGCGGAAAAAAATACCATATACCAGATAGGAATGGCGCAATGTCCTAAGCAGAAGGGATCACGCTGGCGGAGTTAAAGAGGGAAAGGATAGAAAGACAGGCCCAGGGAAAGTGGTTCTGTACTGCTCTATTGTTGAAGGGTGAGGTGCTGCGAGAGTTCTCAAGGGCCAGCTTGTGAAGGTTGGCATCAAGGAGTCTGAACTTGACATTCTAGAAATACTTGGGAAGTCACCACAAACTTACATCTGCAAAATACATAGCTGTGTTTGTGTTTTAGATCACTCAAAGCAGAATAGAGGGAAAGGGCAAAGCCAGAGACCATCTGAGTTGCATTAGTCCAGATGAAAAGTTGAGGCTTTTAGTTGTGACAGCAAGAGGTAGAATTAATCCATGAAAGATTTTACAGCCCAGCCCAGTGGTGTGTACCTGTAATACCAGCTACTCTGAAGGTAGAAGGAGGAGGATCACTTGCACCTAGAAGTTCAAGAAAAAATATTTTAGGAAGTCTGGTGGCATCTGGATACATACTGTCTACTGGTACTCTGACCACTGCAGGCAGTACCAGTAAAAGAGAAATCATGGATAGCAAGCCAGATGATGTGTTAAAATGAATAAGCAGCTTTAGAATCCAATCATTTTCTACCCGTTTGATTTTGGATTGGTTAGTCCAAGACTCCAAGTCATATTTTGCCAATCTATGATTGGCATACAGAGATACAAATTATTCTGTGAAATTGCATGTGACATGCTTTGCAATAAACCCAATAGGTAAGCTGGGTGTGGTGGAGCACACCTACACTTGGGAATCTGAGGCAGGAGGATCGCTGTGAGTTCAAGGCAAGCCTGGTCTACATAATGAATTCAAGGCTTACCTGAACTACAGAGGGAGACCCTTCTCAGAAAAAAAACACAACAAAACCTGATTTGTTCCTCGGGCCTGAATGCCCACAATACCTGCAGTTTCCATGAATCTTGGGACTAATATCGGAGCATGTGAACCTGTAAAAAAGATCTTTTCATTAATCTCACAGGAACTGGAACAGAATTCTCCTTTAGTATATTCCGGGTTGCTTTGGCAGGCGGTGGCCCTCTCCTCCTCTCCCCTGCATCCGGAGCTACATTTTTACATTCCTTTCAACTGGTACAATTGCAAGGCAGTGATTCCCAAGGCAATAGAATAACTGTCTCTTTTGCCAACTCTATTTTTTTCCTTTCTTTCTTCTTTTTTTCCTTGACAACAGAGAGCTTCTTTTTTCTCTCCAGCAAAGAAATGACATTACCCTGTCGATGTTAAATTCTGTCAGAAATGGAGCCACTAAAATAGAAAGAGAAAAAATATTTTGGCAACAGCCAGGAATAAGAAGTTGCACAGCATTAACTGGGTTGTTTATATTTAGGAATGCAGGGTACTCTGTATTATGAGCGATGATTGTCTCTAGTTAATGCTAATTTCTAAAATAATTCTCTTTTTGATGTACTTGGCAGATCGACTGCAGTGACGCCCCTGTTTTCTAAACTCCCCCTGTGCAGTTCCCCTCATTAAAGAGGCAGAATCTGTTCATCCAACTCTTGACGTTGGACTTGGCCATGTGACTAGCTTTGGCCTGAGGTTGTTAGTGGTCATTAAAAAGCGCTTGTGTGTCCACTGGCTCTTTTGGGCTCCTGACATTTCCCCGAAGATGCGTAAGGCCAGCCTGCTAGAGAGATGTGAGGCACGTGGAGGACAGCGGCGTTGTCTAAGCCAAGGCCATCTGGGACACACTCTGTCAGCCACCCACAGATATATGAGCAGCCCCACCCAGCTGACCTGTCACTCGCCAATGAAAATGCTGTCAGAGGCACCAAGGTCTTCTGGCTGTTTGTTACACAGTAGAAACTAATTGATACAGTGCATTTGCAGGGTACCAGCTTGTGGTGACCCATGACTTCTCTAAGCTGAAACAGTGAACAAATTCCCATACTTCAAGCCCCATTCATAGTAAGTAACAGCTCGGAGAGTCAGTTTGAAATCTCCATTCTAGGCAAGCTGCTCTTTCATACTTCCCCAAATACAACCTATACAGCCCAGCCTCTTTCTTTGTGTGTGTGTGTGTGTGTGTGTGTGTGTGTGTGTGTGTATCAGAACTCGAACTCAGGACCTTGTGCTGCTGAGCTACATCCCCAGCCTCCCAGTCTCTTTCTTTGTGCAGTTAATTTCTTCTTACTAGAATGTCTTTTCTTCTCCTCCCTGCTTACTTAAATCATATCTAATCTCCAAGGACCTACATAAAATCCGCCTTCTCTGAATGATCTTGTGTGACTGTCCCCTGCCTCTCCAGCCTCTTAACTCTTAGGAGATTTCCTGTCTGGATCATGACTTGGATACTGACACATGCTCTTATATGCCTACTGTTTCTTACTGACAGCCATTTACTAAACTAAAATCCAAGGACCTGGAGTGCAGAGTTCTTCAGATTTCTCTTATGCTCACTTCTTGCACAGGACTTTGAAAAGGAAAGCTCAGCATCTTTCACTAAGACTTTAATATTTTTAGGGTAACTGGCATTAGGGGGCTAATTGTTAGGTATCGTTACTAACAAAAAAAGAACCCTGAGGGAGGGATGACTTGGTGGATGGATGCGCAGACAGATGGATGAAGGGAGGAGAAGTGCATGGGTGAAGTTGAAGGCTTCTGACTTGAGTTGGTAGAATGTTGCCCTTTGTTACTATAATCCCCACTAGAAAAAAAAGTTTCCCTTTAAATGCTGTCTTTACCCTGAGGTTTTACTCACTCTCCCATTCTTCCCAAATTGGATAGGCTGTCTCCTTCCTCCAAATGTCAGTATACCGCTCCTTGTCCACCCCCTAGGGTACCTCAAGCCATTCCCTGTAGGACAGTCAGACCTGCGATTCCTTCCTGCTCGCCTCCACCTGGGCTCACCTTCACTCCTTGGTCTGTAGCACGTGGTAGCTTATCACATAGGTGATAAGTTTTTATTTCATATCTCTTCTCAGTTTTCCTGGTTTTGTGTGTGTTTGTTTGCAGTTCTGGCAAGTGAACTCAAGGTTTCATACCGAACTCCATCCCCAGCCCTTTAAAAAAATATTTTTTTATTTACTGTTTTCAAGACAGAGTCTTGCTAAGTTGCCCAGGCGGAGCTCAAGCTTTAGATCCTCCTGCCTCAGCCTCCCATAGTTCTTGGATTATAGCTATGTGCCACCATGCCCAGGTTCCTCTTCTGTATTTTAGATGTCCTCAGTCAGGCCCTCATCATTGCTCATATGAACAACTGCAAAATCTTGTCGTTGGCCTTCTTGCTTATAGCCTTTTCACCCTTCCTTGCTTTTTAGCCAGTTAGCAATGCACTAGTATCAGGTTCGAGTTTAAAATAAATTTTACAGAAGTAAACAAACCTTTGTAATAGCTTCCCTCTTCTTCAGGATAAAAGCCAGGCTCCTAGGCCAGGCACAGAGCCCATTACGATCTGGCCCAGCAAACCTACAGACCCTTCCCTTTTCATACCAGCCTTAACTTTCATCGCCAATAGGAGGCACAGCCTGCGCATCACTTATCCATAGACTTTCTCCCCAGCCATCCCTCGCCTTGTTGTTTCCTTTGGCCCGGTTCCATCCACCCTGATAGTTCCCTCCTGTCTACCGCTTTCCTGCACCTCCGTTAGGTGCCCTATTGCACTGTGATTATCTGACTCAAGTGGGAACTTCCTGAGAGTAAAGGCAAGGCTGTGTCCATCTCTGTGTGTGCAAATCTTACTATAGCTCTCAGAACATAGGAGGACCAAACAGTTGCTGGCTGGCTGGCTAGATGGATGGAGCAGTGGTCTGCCTGTAATTGTCTAAAACAGACCAATATGGGGGCTGGGGATTTAGCTCAGTGGCACAGTGCCTGCCTGGCAAGTGTGAGGTTGTGAGTTTGATTCCTGGTACTGGAAGAAAAACAAAACAAAAACAAAAACAAAGAGACCAATATATTACTGACTGATCTAGATAGATCTAGGCTTACCTAAAGCTAATGTTCACAAGTTCCTCCCTCGTATGATCTTGCCTTCAGCGACTAGAGTAGCATTAAAGTGTCCTGAGTTCAGTGTCACTGCTTATGTGTAGGCACTCCTCTGCCATCCTTGGTGTCCATGCGGATACTGGCAAAGACTCACTTAAATGTCCTTGATGGTGATGATGGCAACTAATAGTCTCTGAGATGTACTTTACTGGATAGTTTTCTAAGTGCTTTAAATTAGTTAGTTTATTCAGCTTTCATAGCAACCTTGTAGGGTACATACAATGAGTATCCCCATTTTAGAGAAGAGTTTAGAAAGGTTAATTAAGTTTTCTAGACCACACAGCTACTAAGAATAGAATCTGCGTGCAAACCAGACAGGCTGATTCTAGATTCTGTTATCTTCAGACCTCGTGTGACCACAAGTTCATGTTTTCCAGGGACCCTTCACTTGTTTCCTCCTTCAAGATGGGAAAGAAAGGGCCAAAAAGAGAATATTTCTCATTGCTTTTTTATTTATTCAGTTTACTTAAATTCCCCCACTATTGCCAAATGATATATAGTTAGGATGAGTGCCGTCTTATTTTATCTGTGCATTTTACTTAACTATAAAGGTAACTAACTTTTTCACAACCCAACTTGAGGGATTAGCAGAAAACAGTGTAGTGTAAGCAGCTTTCCTTTTTGCAAGTCATCTATGTTCCTCAGTGGGCTGAAAACCACACTACGGCTTCCTCTTTACCTTTGCAATGAGAGCACACTTGTCACTATGCTTCTAAGCAACTTCAGTGACGCTTCCGGGAAAGATCTGCACCAGTCCAAATGGCACACGTCCTGTATGTGGCATCTTTCTCCCTCCTTCTGGGTAAGTTTCGTCATTCCCTGTGTTTCTATCATCACAGGAGCTGGCCCACAGGAGGCTGCTGGGTGATGTAGGAGGACAATTTGGTCTTTACAGGAACAACTATGCCACATACTTCTGTGGCTGCCAGTAATTTTTGATTTATTAATGACAGTTCTTTGCTTTCTTGGATAACCCAGAGTTCCAGGGAAGTGCAATGCTTGATGTTTTACATTTGTCTCCCTTGCCAAATCTCTCACTTCAGCCTGGCTCTGCCTCTATCTCTTCCTCTTAGGCCACCCGTCTGGAGAATATGTGAGATGCTCTGTTTCCCAGGCTGAGAGGAGACCTTTCGGTTTGCCTGAGGTTAGGGTCTGACTAGACACATATGCCTTGGGGTTGAGGCTGGGTAGAAGAAAAGGTTAGGCGAGCACTAAGCTAAAAGAACTTTCTGTATTTTGCCTATGAGTAATGTGGGAATTAACTACTGAGAGCCCCAGAGCAAGATGATTATTTATTTGACTTACCAGCTGAGAGACATTTATATATCTTAGAACAAGGTGGTGGAAGTACAATTTGAGGTAGAGAGAAGAATCAGAGGAATTAGGCAAGGAATGAAATAGTTCCAACTGAACAGGATAGGTCCCAGGTTCTTTTCTGTGTTATAGCTTCCTTTAGCACCTGGTGATGCTTTATGGACCTTACCTCAAATCTTTGTTTTGTTTTGTGTTTGGTGGTTCTGGGGATGAAAGCCAGGTTCTCGTGTTGTGTGTACTTAGGCAAGTACTCTACCACATCTATAGCCCTCAGAATCACTTTCAAACACATAAAATAAGATGCATAGAATTGTAAAGGACATTGGTCATACTAAAATAGTTATTAATAATTTTAATAGGTTATGATATAGTGATTTATTTGATTCTTTATTATAGAACAAGATCTGGTGGAGGATCTGTTAAGCACCAAACATCAATGAAGTGATGAATAGGAATATTTTAATACAGCTGCAGCAATGGCAATAGAATGTGAAAATATGCGATTCACTGTCCACATTCCCAACTGAAGAAAATACTAAATTGCCATTAGAGATTCATGAAATAAAACTCTATGAGTTTTTGCTCACCATAGTTTATGGGCCTTTTAATTCTATTTGTGGACTCAGATTAAGAAAGTTTGCTTTCAAGAGATGGGTTGAGTTAATGCAGGGATGTGAACGACTGGGTTGATAGGGGAACTGAATAAAGCTATAATCAGTACAAAGGGTTGCTGAATAAACACTGGTTAAATTGCCCTGGGCTCCTTTCTCTCAAGGGACATATTGTAAGGATCAGATCTGGGCCTCATAGGGAGAGAGCTAGCCTGCAGGGGAATTCACTAGGACCCCTTGCTGGGTAATGAGACCTATCAGTCTTAATGGGCAGGTGTCCTGGTGGGATCCTCCAGGAGTTGGTGTACTTCACTTTCTCCTGTTTAGTTTTCCTATTTAGGATTCTCAAGTGTGCGTGCTTTGTGTATTTCAGCTGTTTGTCTTATGGTTAAGGGGAAACTGGGTTTACATTGTGCAATAATTCAGAGAATTGCAAATTGTCTCTCTGGTTTGTGTTGCTGTTGGTTCATTTTTGTTTGTTTGTTTTGTTGGTAAGCAAACCAGAGGTCTGGGGGGAAGAAAGTATAACCAAGACTCAGTAGGGAATACTGGAAGCTTTTCCTTAAGCCTCTTAAACAATCAAGTTATACACTTATTTCTTCTAACATCTGACTCATTTCAAGCACTAATTTTGTATAGAACCACAGTTTTTACGTGAAGAATACATAAATCAAGAGGTAACTTGAAAAAGTTATGGAAGCCTGCTATTTGTTGTTACAATATAGAAGAAAGGGAGGAAATTAATTAAATGATGATAAATTTATCTGTTATAGCCAGGTGTGCTAGTGCATGCCTGTAATCCCAGCACTTGGGTGGCTGAAGCAGGAGGACTGCTACAAGTTTGAGGCCAGCCTGGGCTACATAGTGAGTCCAGGCCAGCCTGAACTACATAGCAAGACCATGTCTAAAAAAATTTTTATCTATTACATTGTTTATCAAATATATACTTTGTATGTTGTTGTCGCTGGAGTCATGTACTCTAGTCCTGAGAGCTATACTCCCAGCCCCCAAATTTATTTATTTATTTCCGATAGGTATAAAGACTGACTAAGAAGTTAGAATATGGTGTTAGATGAAGTTAGCAGGCAAATGAGCACTCAGACTTAGCCATTGTCTTTGCCACCGTGGCTTGTACCCTCAGCCTGAGTAACTGCTCTATGAATAAAGGCCAGTTAACATAGAGGGCCTTGGACAAGGGCTGTTTTCTTACTGAGTGCATTCATGGAAAAAAAAATCATTTAACTATGGATGGAAGCCATCTCAGCCTACAAGCTTTTAGGATTTTTATATGTATAAAGAAAGAGACATGGCTTGGTATGTTGACTGTTCTCTAGGTAGGTTTTATATGAGTTGAAATTATTTGATATTACTGGTTTTTTAATATCAAAACTGGTTGCATGTCAACCATTTTATATGGTCCAACCTAATAGTCTTGACTCAGATAATACTGAAATTGTAATTTTGACAATTCCAATAAATTTTTTTCAGTACTGGGGACTGAATTCAGGACCTTTGCACTAAGCTACATCCCCAGCCCATTTTTTTATTTTTTATTTTGAGACAAAGTCTCACTAAGTCACTAAGTTGCCCAGGTTTGGCTCCAAATTTTGGTCCTTACCACATCCAGCTCTTGGTGTTTTTGTTTTTTTAAGAAACCTAATACCATCAAGGAATTTTAATTGTTTCAAGAGCAAGACTCCTATGCTAGTATGTTAGAGCCAAGCTGCGTACTCATCGGACAAGAATCTGAGCAACTGTGCAAAAGGTCCTAATCCTTTGTCCATTCAAAATGAAACAACAAGGCAATCCTCTGAGGAATTTTGCTCTTTGGGAGGAAACAAGACCTGTGCCTGAATATATATGCAAGATGCTTCACCGTGTGCTTCCAATGCATAGCCACTCGAATTGATCGCTGTTATTTCTGTTCACTTCCAAAACACTTATGAAACTGTCACACTATTCTTTCACTCTCCCGAGAAGGCAGCATGTCCCCGTGTATTCTGACTGCAGTAACAAAATTATCGTAAAGCGAGTGGCTTGGAAACAACAGGAATGTGTTCCTCACCATTCTGGAGACTGGGCTCAAATCTGACTCAGCCACTGATGAGTTTTGGCATTCTTAAACATGGGAATATCAGTTTTTGAAAGGATCAGATTACAAGTATTTTCAAAGGGTTGAATAAATTTTAAAGTAAAATACACACACCTAAGTATAATTTTCCAATGTTTGCTGGCTATCCATGGTACTCAAATTTTGTATTTCCAAAATTAAATATATCATCTTCTCCCTCGCCTTTGAACATGCAACCACTGCAACTTTCTGTTATCCTGACTTCTGTTGAGTACAATTATCTCATCTTATAAAACCTGTGTATCTTTGATTTCCTACCTGATATTCCTGTTTTACCCCTATAGCCCCCAAGCATCCAAAACATCAAAACCTATAGATTTCAGCTGTTAATGATAATCCTTTTTCATCCCTATGCATTCATCACCTTTGTCCCATGCTGCTATAATTCCCTGATGTCTGCTTCTGACTTCCAGCATCCTCCACACAACCATCAGGCTAATTTTCCAACACCCTTCAAACACTTTCAGTGGACTGCTATTACCTAATGAGTCAAGTCTACACTTCAAATGTCATAATCAAGTCCTTCATGAACCAAAATTCCTAGCTAGTTCTACCCTTTCCTTTTAATAATCATGTGACATTTCCCTCGTCCAGTTTGCTCCCTATGTGCTGAACAAATCTTCTGGTTCCTACTCATAGTCTTGTCTCAGTCTCCTTCACCTAAAAAGCCCTGTCTCCCCGCTTGTCAGTATTTCTAATTTTCCTAAGTTCTCTGCAAATGCCATCTCTCCCATAGGCCTTGTCTGTGTCCTTCCCTCAAACAGTATCAGTCTTGCTTTGTCAAATCCCTTCCAAGCATTTTATATCTTTCTCACAGAGGATGACTGCCGCCTCCCTGACTAGATTACAAAATCGTGAAGGGCCCATTCCAAACTCATCTTCTCCTCGTAGGCTCTGCAACATCTGAAATATAATTCAGCGGTTGAATAAATATTTGAGTTGGCAAGTAAACAGTAGAGAGCGAAGTGCTAATTTTCACAATAAAATGTTTTCAAATGTGTACTCATCTCACTGAGAAATGACAGAAAATGTTGGAGAAGTGTTGCCCAGCCACCGAAAATAACGTTTATGGAAACATGCCCCGATAGAAACAGGGTAGTGATACCTCAGAAATCGTATTTAAAAAATTATGGTGAAATCTATAAGGAAAGGCTAATAAAACATAAATATACAGCTTAACAAATAAGAAACTAAAACCTGTGCAAATCACTATCCAGGTCAAGAAACAGATTGCCAGGACCCAGGAATATACACTCGTTCTGATCACAGTCAGATGTGAGTGTCCCATCGGACTACAGAACTCTTTCCTGACACTCAGGACAAATTCCTAGCTTTTTAATGCATCACTAAACAATATAGTGTGTTTTTGCCTGTGTTTAAACTTTATAAACAACAGCATTATTTCTGCACATCAATAAAAAGATTCAAAGTATCTTGAGCCAGGCATGATGACTCATGCCTGGAATCCCAGCACTCCGAAGGTTGAGGCAGGAAGATACCCATCAGTTTGAGACTGGCCTGGGCTACATAGTGAGTTCAAGGCTATCCTGAAATACATAGCCAGATGCTGTGTCAAAAAACCTAAATAAATAAATGAAGCATCTTGCATCTTTGATTGAACATAGTCGTGCATGTTATTGCAAATGATTGTCATTCATTAATTTTCAATTCTGCATAATATTCCGTTTTATGACTCTGCCATTCTCCAGTATCCTTTGTGCTGTTGATGGACCTATGTGTTGTCTCTTGTTTGGGGTTGTAATGAACAGTGTGGCAATACGTGTAGCCTAGTGCACAATGCACACATTTCTCTAGGGTGGCATTGCTGAATATGTTTTAAACTGCCTCAGTAGCATAACTTTTTGGTAAGTAATAGTTTATATTTTTTAAGGTTATTTAACTCCGATTTCTGGATACTTACTACAAATGATTAAGATATAATATGTTAATTAGGATTTGTTAATAAATTAGTGTGTTCAATTTATTACTAGAAATGTGTGTGGTTAGTTGATTGGCTGGGTGTTGGTAGTTTGTTTACCAGTTTGAAGTTGAACTAGCGGACTGCATCAGGAGAGCATTTATCTTTCCTATCCTTTCCTTTTGTTTTCTGAGCTCCCTTACATGCTTTAGGATTGCTTTCATTTTGGCTAAAATCCCCATGCCCGGCCCTTTCATGGTCTCTGTGATGCCATTTTCCCTTTCCTTGGCTGTTTCTGCTCCTGTAGTCTCCTTTTCTCTTGGTCTTTGTGAAGTCACACAATTTAGCATATGCTCTGTTTCTGGACCTCTCTTCTTCCCAAGAACTCTGTTCTGTCGACTCCAGAACAGCAGCCATCGCTCCCCTTGGGGCCTTCTGATGTCTTTCAACCCCCTCTTTCCCAGGCACTGCACCCCGGCCGCTAGTGAAAGATCTAGACTGCCCCGTGGCACCTCTGTCATTGGTCTTTGTTTTTTCAGAGATAAAAATGAACTTGCCCTTAATATTAATCATCATAAGTAAACATAAACTTTCTGATTTCTGAAAAATGCTGGATTAAATTTTTTTCTAAGGAAATGTTACCATTTAATTATGTTTTCTCCTTTAGACCTAATAATTAATTAAGATCTGTTTCAATAGAAAACATTCCAAGGGGATGGGGATTTAGCTCAGCGGCAAAAGCGCCTCCCCGGCAAGCGCAAGGTTGTGAGTTCAGTTCCCGGTACCAGAGAAAAACCAAAAAAAAAAAAAAAGAAAACATTCCATAGTGGTCCCAGCTGAAAACTTTTGGTAAAAAGAAAGAGAAGAACTGAAATAAATTTTGATCTCCAAGCTTGCTGGACTTTATGGCCATCCAGTATGAAGCTTCTCAGTAAAGCTACAGTGGCTCTCTAGAAATTAAAACAAACCAAAACTCTCCACATTAAAGAAAGAAGTGCCACTGCCACTTCAGATGCTAATTTTGGCTACTCTTGCACCAGATCTGGTGAAGAGCTACAAATATTTCCAACAAACCAGCCAGAAAAATCAGGGCACTGTGGGCAGAGTGACAGACTTTGCCGCTCCAGCTGCCACGTTTATAAGAATAGCCCTGGAAACTGAGATTTGAGGATGTGCTGAATTTTCCCACAAAATATATAAAAAAAATTATCACACATTGTATTTGCTTTCAATAAATGCACTTAGATAAGCCCGTGTTTTATGGATATAGCCATGTCACATGGATAAAGCTAAACTTTTTTTAAAGAGACTAGAGATTCCTCTGGAAGTTAAAGTTATGAAAGAACAATTAACTCGTCAATCCCCTCCACTGCTGCCTAACCATAAAGAAAGTGGTGAACATTTGAGTTGATTATTGCTAATAAGCTGCAATCTCATTTACCAGAATTGTAATATAGGGAACTACATAATGTGGTACACTGGGAACCAGAGCACTAATCTATTTTTATTCCCCTCTCTTTCTCCTGTTTGCAAGCTAAGCTCAGCACTGGCCAGAGAGAAGTAACAGTTCAGAAAGGACCGTTGTACAGAGCTGAAGGTTATGCTGTCAGCATTGGCTGCAATGTAACTGGCCACCAGGGCCCTTCTGAGCAGCATTTCCAGTGGTCTGTTTACCTGCCGACAGCCCCATCCAGGGAAATACAGATCATTAGCACCAAGGATGCCGCCTTCTCTTACGCAGTGTATGCACCGCGAGTGAAAAGCAGAGACATCTACATAGAGAGGGTGCAGGGAAACTCGGTCTTTTTGCACATCTCCAAGCTCCAGATGAAGGATGCTGGCGAGTATGAGTGTCACACCTTGAACACGGATGGAAAGTACTATGGAAGTTACAGTGCAAAGACTAAGCTAACCGGTAAGATGTTTGACCCCTTCCGCTACCGAGCCCCTGAGAAGCCAGTCTTCACTCTCACAGTGCCTTTGCAGTGAGACAGGCTTTGCAGTGTTTTATTTGCTTTGGGAAAAAGAGTCCACCTAGCTCTCTGGATAGTTTGGAAATTTGTTACAAGTAGGTATTTCACATTCTTTAAAACTACCAGTTCAGGGGGCTGGGGATTTAGCTCAGCGGCACAGCACCTGCCTGGCAAGCCCAAGGTCATGAGTTCGATTCCTGGTACCGGAAAAAAAACAACAACAAAAAAACTACCAGCTCAGTTTTCCCAATCATACTATATTTAAATAGTGTGACACTGCCCCAAAGCCTCATCTACAGATATCCATAGGCTGGCAATAGTACAGCTATCGACAGCTCCCGTAATTGGCTATAACTTATCATTCAGAGCTAAAATGCAATCTTTACTAAAGTTTATATAACCATCCTACTATAGTACCTGTCTTGTCCCTCAAATGAAATAATATAGCACAAGATAAAGTGAAAGCAACACATAGCTGGAGCACTTTTTCCTGTGAGAAGAGGGTCATATTCCTTGCAATTGTCAGTTTGTCCCTTTGTGTGGAATACCTAGCACTCCCTTCTTAGCTTAGTGAGTTCCTAGATATCTTTCAGGAGCCAGTTTTGATATGACCTCTTCTGTGGAACCCATCTCACCTTCCTTCCTCTAATAATTACAACCAATTATTTCAGAACTTTTTTCATAAGAAGCAGATTAAGGCCAGGCAAATAAAGTGATATGCCCAAATTCATGTGGTCAGATGGGGAGATACTTAGGGTCAGAATCTGGGTCTGGGAGCTCCCAGTGCTTTTCCCCTACAAATACTCTGCTCCCATAAATACTCTGTGTCTGAATAGCTAAGTTAACTGCAGCCTCTGCTAATGAAGAAAGCCAAAAAGCGTATCTCATTGAGCCACTTGCTTCCCCAGGTTCCATGGATTGTACATGGATGCCAATGGCTCCATTGCCAATAGGGGAGCTTATAGCTGATGAAAAACCAACTCAAAGGATGCGTTCTGTAGATGAGGGTTCAGGGCACCATCTTCACCTAACTGGTCAAGAATGAGCTGCGCATATTATCCTCATTCCTTTGTTTCTAGTTATTCCAGATACTCTCTCTGCCACCATGCATTCCCAGACTCTCAGGAAGGAGGAAGGTGAACCATTAGAACTTACCTGCGAGGCATCCAAAGCCACAGCTCAACACACCCACCTCTCTGTCACCTGGTACCTGATACAGCAAGGAGGAAGCAGCCAAACCACCAAGATTATTTCCCTCTCCAAAGATTTTACGTTGACCTCTGGGCCTCTCTATGCAGAGAGGTTTGCAGCTGGTGATGTGCAGCTCAACAAGTTTGGGGTCACTACTTTCAGGCTGTCCATAGGCAGGCTCCAGTCCTCAGATCGAGGCCAGCTGTTCTGTGAGGCAGCTGAATGGATTCAGGATCCAGATGAAACCTGGATTTCCATCACAAAAAAGCAGACAGATCAAACAACACTGAGCGTCCAGCCAGCAGGTAATTATCTTCTCAGGAAATTTGTGAATTCACTACTAGTGAGTATAAGGGATATTTTAAATTTTTTTTTTTAAAAAATCTTTTGTTGCCAGGCATGGTGGCACAGGCCTGTAATCTCAGCACTTGGGAGGCTGAGGCAGAAGAATTCTTGCAAGTTCAGTACCAGCCTGGGTTACAAAGTGAGCTCAAGGCCAGCCTGAACTGCATAGTGAGACACTGTCTCAAAAAGACAAAAAAGAAAAATCTTTTGTTGACCCCCAAAATATTTACTAGAAATTTTGAGTCAGTTTTGCTTTTGTCATCTGGGAAGCATAACAAACAAGAAGTATGTTCCATTTTGGCTTTGTTCATAGGAGGATTTATACGGGATGAGAATGTTAAATGATTAGGTGGATTACACAAGCCAGCCATGGAAATAGTTTTGTAACCATTTTTCCAGGCACTTTGTAAGAACATTATCTCCATGATTTAATTTAGTCCTGACAACCTCTGAGTCAACTAGTCAACTCCCTACTTCAAAAATGAGGACCCTGAGCCCCGGGTGTGTTAAATGTACCCCAAAACTCACCCAGCAGAGGAGAGGTAGGGCTGGCATTCAAAGGCAGGCCTGTCTCTCTCCAACGTCCACTTACCACAGACAGCAGGGCCTCCAAATAGCTCCAGTCCGTAACAGGAGGATTATAAGTTTGAATCCAGCCTGGGCAACTTAGTGAGACCCTGTCCCACAGTGTAAAAAGAGTTGGGAGGGGCTGGAGTGTCTCAGTGAGAAAGCTCTGGGTTCGATCTTGTCCTTGTCAGTACTGGGATTTCCTCCCACCTGACCTCTTTTTCCATCTTGTTTTTTTTTTGTTTTTTTTCCGGTACCAGGAATTGAACTCATGACCTCACACTTGCCAGGCAGGCGCTGTGCCGCTGAGCTAAATCCCCAACCCCGCTTTTTCCATCTTGGAATGGAATTATTCTTCATGATCTACTAGCATTTTTGTCAAAGTAGGCAGAAAGGCTTTGCTGTGGTTTCTGGTTTCTCTCCATAGGCTTTGGCCCAATAGGAGGGAGTTGCTAAAACCATATTCAGTAATGAAAGCATGATCCAGTGGTGGATCACTGAAGTTTTCTTTCTTTTTTAAAGACACATGTTATTCTAGTCTATTAAAAATTGTCCTCTTAGCCTCAAGTACCCTACTTTTACTCAATGAGTCTAACAAAGCCATGTAACATGTGCTTTGACTTGGAAAAATTCTCCTGGATATTAGTAGACAAAAAAGAGAATAAGAAATGAGGACTGGGGATGTTTTTCTGGTAGAGCACATGCTTAGGATGCATGAGGCCCTGGGTTCAATCCCAGCACCAAGAGAAGGAGGGAAGGGAAGAAGGAGGGAGGGGGAGAGAGGGAGAGAGACAGAGGTCATAATATACAGCAATTTGATATTTTGTTTTCATTTACAAAGCATATCTAACTATATACTTTACACATCTGCACATATTTTTTGTGCAGTTCTAGGGATTGAACCCAAAGCTTTCTCACTGAGACATTCTCAGCCTCCCCCCGCCTTTTTGAAATTGTGGGACAGGGTCTCACTAAGTTGCCCAAGCTGGACCCAAACTTGTAATCTTCCTGCCTCATCTTCCAAGAGTGCATTTTAAGCATGCACTACCATGCCCATTTCTATGAGCATTTTTTATTCTAGTGCTTTGGTTGGGGGGAGGTGTCTGCCACTACAGAACTGAACTGTCACATAAAATGCCATCTTCATGGTATGCTTACTGGGGCTTCAACTGTCGGGTACTGAAAGGATAGATGCAGTGGTCTTTCTAAATACCTGCCTTGCTTTTGTTACACAGTGAGAGACTTTCAAGTCAGCATTACTGCTGAGAGCACTTTTGCTGAAGGGAAGCCATTGCAGCTGGTTTGCCTGGTGGTGGGCAGTAGCCAGGACCCACAGCTTCAGGTCGTTTGGTTACTCAATGGGATTGAAATAGCCCACATTGATGCTGGTGGAGTCCTGGATCTGAAGAAGGATTACAAAGACAGAGCAAGCCAGGGACAGCTCCAGGTTTCGAGGTTAAGCCCCAAGGCTTTCTCCCTCAAGACCTTCTCTGCAGGCCCAGAGGATGAAGGCACCTACAGTTGCACAGTGACCGAGGTGGTGAGAACTCCAATGGGCTCCTGGCAGGTGCTGCAGAGAAAGCAGTCACCAGTCAGGCAAGTACATCTGAAGAAGCCAGCAGGTAAGTGAAGTCAGGACCAGGCATGAATCAGCCCCTTCCTTTGGCAGTACAGAGGCTTCACGCACAGCGGAAGTCTTCCTGTGGAGTTGGACCGCCTGCTGGAGGGAAAGTGCAGTAAGGGAAGATACCTAGGCTAGCTGGACATTTTTGGAGTCCTCTACCTGAGCCATTAAGTAGGCCATGACCATGCACATATACCTCTAAATCTCAGCTTCTTCGTTTGTAAAGGGATGGCACACAGTTAGATGATCCTAAGTCTCTTCTTGCTGCCTTACATACTTGGATTCTGTTTTTTGTTCTAATTTGCATACATTGGGTTTTTTATCTAAGCAGAGAACAGCTGTATTAATGAAGCCGTCTGTGGGTGTGTGTAAAGGGGGAGCGGAGGGCAGAAGGAAAAGAAGAGGGAGAGAAAGAGGGAGAGGGCGGGGGAGGAGAGGGAGGGGGAGGAGGAGGGGCGAGGTTAAGAGTAAAGAGCCACTTTTCTCTTCCTGAGGGACCAACAGCCAAACCTGAGACTCATCTTCCGGTTACCTTCCGTTAATCCACTGTTACGTTACCCTCCTGCAGGAGTGATACTTAGCCACAATTCTGACACCCAGTGAGCAGACAGGAAGTGAAATAAGCTGGCCAACTCCACTGCATGCATTTGGCTGTGCTGTGGTGAGAGGCCTGCTCTGAGTGTATGCACGAAAGTAGGGGTGCCACTGCCGTGGTTTGGCTGTAGTCTGTCCTCACAAGGTTCAAGTACTGGAAGTTTGGTGTGGTGTGGTGAAGCTGAGGTAATTTGATCCTCAGTTTGAGGATCCTCATTCATATGGGCTCCACCCATATATATGCATCCGTACCACAAGGAGAGCAGGTTGCTCTAAAGTGAGGACACTTCTGCTTCCCTTTCTGCTTCCTCATCATGTTGTGATGTAGCCAGAGGGCCCTCGCCAGGACGCTGGCACCATGCTGTTTGGATGCTCCAGCCACCAGAATTGTGCACCCAATAAACCCCTTTACTTTCTGCGTTACCTAGCCTCACATATTTTGTTACTGCAACTGAAAGCAGCCTAATAGCTACTCAGCTCTCCTTTACTTTGGGAAGGTTGGGTGACTTTAAATGTGTTTGAATAATCAGTGTCTTGTGTGTGAAGTGAAAATAGACAGATCCCCTGCTAATATTAGGATTCTTCAGGCTGAATGTTAAATTCAAAGTCCAGAAAGAATAATTGCCTGAAAGCAAAACAAAAAAATATTTAAATGTTAATTAAAAACTGAGCTAAAATGAAGATATTCTTGTTGCACTGGCTCATTAGAGGCATCTCCAAAGACAGATGAATTTCCCTTTCATGTTCTTTCTGTCTCCCTATTGGCTAGGAAGGAAGATGCACATGGTATGGCCTCAAGGGGCAGGCCAGGAAGTGTGATGCTGACAGTTTTTGCACTAAACATTTAGTCTACTCTCTAGGATTCAGGAAAAACAGTGTGGGCAGGTTTATGTATTTGCACAGAGCTAAATTTCTGCTTTGTGTTTCTCAGTCTCCCTGAAATACATCTGAAATCTTAAAACCAGGATGTGGGAATTTGTGTCAAAGAGACCTGAAGGTGTTTTTCGTGGTATGCACCTCATAACGCTACTAGCAGGGTTATCTTCCAAAGCTAAAAATAAGTCTTTGCATAGGGTGGAGTCCAAACTGGGCTCAATATGTAGAACTAGGAGAACTTATTAGCATATTCATTGTTTCCTGATTAACATTCTGTTTTGAAAGTCAAGCTATTATTTGAATTATGAGCAGAGTTTTATCAATCTATCAATATTTCAAACAGAAGGGAGCACCCACTATCACTATGATGTGTGATTTAACCACACCTAATTATTTGTTATTCCTTATCATGAGGCAGTAATAACTTCAAGGATTAAGGAAACCTCATTTTTAAAAAATGATGTTATAATTAATTGAAACTAATTATAGTGGTTAAGGTAGTGAGATTGTAATAGTTTTCCTTAGAATTTCTAAACTTCATGTATAAGCCATTTTATCTTGAAAAAAATTTAAAGTATAATTATGCTTCTAACACTCAAAATTTGCAAGCAGTTTTATTAATAGTTAAATCCTATTTATGGGCATTAACCCTCGTTCTGCCTTGATAACTTGTGCACATGTATACACAAAACAGCCCAAGACTGAACTTCCTCACCAAGGAAAAGCAATTTGCAAATTCATTTAGATCCTCTTTAGAGTTCTAACGTAAATTCTATTTTGTTTTGAGCTACCTCTGCTTTTGCCTGTGCCTCTTATTAAACACTAATGCTAATAACCAACCTTTTCTGAGTAGTTTCCCTAGCCAGCCAGCCTTGGCTGATTGTGTGCACCCTTTGTTCAGTTCTCTCAACAATGTAATAGGTATGTGCTATTATTACCCTAGTTTTTACAGGAAAGACAATAAGGCTCAGAGAGTTCAAATATGTTGCTCAGGGTAATAGACTCCAGGGAAGTTGGCCTTAAATGTAATACTGCCTTCACAAGATGCATAAGCTCCTGATGTATCTCTGCATTGCCCACCAGCAAACAGAACAAGAGCTTACAGAGTAAGCATTTGTTGAATGAATGTCTACATTTTTACACAGCTCAAATTTTCCATCTTGGAAAGCTTAACATTTGTAGTTTTATACAGTAGTTTAGCCATTAAGAAGGCTCTCCCACCTAAAATATACCAATGAACTTAATAAAAAAAAGAAGGCTCTCCCTTTCCAGTAACAGATAGATGATATATATATATATATATATATATATATATATATATATATATTCCCTGAAGTAATTCTTTTTATTGTGGTACTGTGAACAAAAATCTAATTAGCACTGTTCTTTCCCTGTTCAAAACACATACTAAACTAATTAGGACTGATTAGGGAAGATAAGTAGGAAGAGGAAGACAGTATTGAACTCTGAAGGCCTGAATTCTAAAAGGATGAAAGTTTAAATTAGCACAGCTTCATCTCAGGTTCATATATTGACCCTAATTAGTCTAATAAAACACTACTGGATATTTGCCCAACTAGAATTCCTCAAGACAGGCTAACTTAGCAAACTGATAAATAAATAAGTGCAAATATTAAACTGTGAAGTATAAGTAGGTTCTCCCGATGCACTTTCTGCTGCTTTCTTCCCACTATTTCAGAGTTTAGCAGATCTTTATTCTGAGGGTGGTGCAGGAGGAAACAGCCTCATACGGTTTGTCACAAACTGGTCAGATCTTCATTGATAAGATCTCCCTGTAAGTTAGAACAATTTTCATTTACTTGAATTTCTCTTTTCTTCTAAAATCTGTAATCCATAGCAAGAGGTGTGGTTGTATCTGCCAAGCAGCAAGCCGTGTGGGAAGGAGAGCCTCTCACCCTTCTCTGCAAGACGGATGGAACGGAGAGTCCTCTGTCCGTGAGCTGGTGGCACATCCCGCAGGACCACACTGCGCCCATGTTCATAGCTGGCATGGAGCAAGATGGTACTCTGCAGCTGGGTGCCTCCACTGAGGGCCCAAGAAGCCATGGCAGCACAAGGCTGGACAAAGTGGACCGGGGTACCTTCCGGCTGGAAATCACCTTCACCACGGTCACAGAAAGTGGTGTATACGAGTGCAGAGTGTCTGAGAGAACCCAGAACCGGGTTGGAGATCTGTATTGGGCTCACAATATTTCGGTCACTGTGAAATCTCTAAGTAAGTGCCGAAGAAATCCTTTTCCAAACTTGAAATTCATTCTGCTGGGCAATTTGTGTGCCATCCTGGGTCCCTCAGTAATGATGTGTGTATCCGCAGGTAGAGAGCTCAGTTTCTGGTGCTGGATTTGTCAGTCCACCCCCAAATTTATTTTTCTTTATAAACCTGATCGTTAGAATTCAACATGTGAACTGGCATTTAGAGTTAAAAACAAAATCCTATGAATTAGAGTGGTCTTTTTTCTTCTTTTCTATTTTCTTTTTTTGATACTGAGGATTGAACCAAGAGCTGTCACACTAAGCTACGTCCCCAGTTCATTTTATTTTACTTTATTTTATTTTATCTTGACAGGGCCTTCTTAAGTCACTAAGTTGTCCAGGCTGGGCTTGAACTTGCAACGCTCCTGCCTTGGTCTGCCTAGTGCTGGAATTACAAACCTGTAATACCATGCCTTGGTTCAGAGTGAATTCATAGATGGCTGTAGCTGAGCCTTATACATTTTAGCTTTTGACGGCTGCAGCCCTGGCATTGCAGCGTCCGTTCTGGCTTGGCAAGAGAACCCAATACTGAACCCAGGAGTGGTGGAGGGAAGGAGGTCGAATCACAGGGCCAAGTGTGCTGCTTGGCAGCAGCTATCCAGGCAGCAGTCATAGAAGAGGGTCAACTGAGGAAAACTGAGGTCAGAATTCAAAACAGACTATGCTGTGAATCACTTCTACCAAAGCATATATTACAGTCTAAATGCACAAATTCACATTCCGACATGAAGAGTAGCACTAGGAAAACTTGAAAGTACTGTGCTTTGATTTGGTAAACATATTAGAAAATGTGTTTTGCTTTTCTATCTGCAGAATCAAGTTTACAAGTTAATTTGATGAGCCGTCAGCCAAAGGTAAAGTTAATGGACACTTTCGACCTGTCCTGTATAGCGAAGGCCGCCTATTCTGGCCTTGCGCTGCCAATCACCGTGACATGGTATTTCCAGCCGGTCAGGTCTCAAATCTTTCATCAGATAATTCGAATCACCCATAATGGCACTGTTGAATGGGGGGATTTCCTCTCCCAGTTCCACAAGAAGGTGAAGGTTTCACAGACTTCATATTGTTCTCAACTCTTAATCTATGATTCCACTGTGGAAGAGACAGGAATGTATCAGTGTAAAGTGGAAGTTTATGACAGAAATTCCCTACACACGAACAATCCAGCCAAGGCCTCAGCCACCTCTTACCCACTGAAAATATCTGTCACTTTACCAGGTAAGCACCCCTTGAAATTACTCCCTGCTTTTAAAAAATCATTTTAATTTTGGGTATGGAAAGAAAGTCCCCTCTCCCCATGTTGCATTGTATAAATAAAGTGCCAGCCTACATCAAGTTGGAATGCCTGGCGTGACCATATTGGTTTTTAAAACACTGAAACACTCCTACTCTGGCTAATAACCATGCTCAGTGTCCTTTTCCCATCTGCCTATAAATTCCCAGCTACTAAAGGGTCTGCCCTGGCACAGTAGGAGCCCCAAAGGCTGTGCTCCAGGGGAGAGGCATCTTTAAATAAGTCACTGCACATGTGCTGGCAGTTATTAAATGTTGGGAACGTCCTCCCTAGTGGTAGGGATAATGTAAGTTCTATTATGATATACTTGTCTACTTCTTTGTAATGTGCTAATGTGTAAGAGTTAGAGAATTTATGATTGTAGTCAAATATAATCTGCCTTGTCAATCAGTAACAGAACATGGAGGTTAAGAGTCAGACAGCCCAGGCTGTGTTATGCATCTTCTCTCCCTTAACTTGCATTCTCTTAGGACAGAAAGTGTGAGAGACAATGAAGTCATTTAGATCTGAGGAGCAGTGCAGCAGCATGACTTTGGACAAATCACCTAATCTACCAAAACCATTGTTATTGCTTCTTTAAATTATTGGTGTGCCACTTAAATGTGATAGCAGGTATAGTGTGCCTAGCAGTGGCCAATACAGCAAACATTTGCTCAAACATAGGCTCTGTCCTGCTGAGCAATATTTTGGTAGTAGTACTTACCTCCTTGTTTATCATTTCATGCCTTAATTTACTTGTGTGTTTCGGGATGTTTGAAATTGCTGCTGTACACCTTTTTTCTTGATATTTCTTATTTTCCTTGGCCCCACAACATAAGATTTTCTTGCTTTCTTTCCTAACACTGATGGCTCCTTCTTGTTTTCTTTTACACTGTTCTCCTCTTCCACTGATTCATTCTTTAAAGACAACGGTTCCTTTGGACACAGCTTAGTTTGCTCTCTTCCTACTGTACACTCTCCTGAGGTAGGCTCATCCCTACCCTATATGTTGACATGGATGAAACCTAGATGTTGACAACTCCCAAGTTCATTATTCTGAAACACTTCTCTTCTGGTCTGAAGACTCACACTGAGTCTTCTCAGACATGCCTACTCTCACTGTGTCATAAACTCACCTTTTTGTCCAAAGCTACTCTTCCCATTGGTTCCTTTATTTTATTTATTTTATTTTATTTTTTATTTTTTTGGTTTTTCTCTGGTACTGGGAACCGAACTCACGACCTTGCGCTTGCCAGGCAGGCGCTTTGCCACTGAGCTAAATCCCCAGCCCCTTCCCATTGGTTCCTATGTTCTCACCACCTACCAGTGACCTGAGTTGGAAACTGGAGTCATCCACAATTCCTGTGAACCTCATGTCCAAACCCCCACAGCATGGCATGCAAGGGCCTTTATAATCTGGTACATTTGGAGATTCAGTGTGGTTGAATAGAGGAGGACCCACCTTGGAGCTTCTCAGAGAAAATCAGCTAAAAATATAGTAATCAGAGGAAGTGGGGGACACATATCTTGATGCCAAAATCAATCTGAAATATGAGACTTGTAGATCAAACAAAACATAGACATAGGACTTTATAAAATGTCAATCTAGCCCACAGGGCTGCCGGTGGCACTGCTGCCTGCATGTCAAGCAAGGACCGCCATACTGGAAAGTCTCCAAGAAACTGATGGACTGCAGAAATTTGACTAATTCAAGCCAAACAGGGTAGATTTGGGATATAAGGCCCCTTGCCTCTTTTACCTTCCTCCATACAGAGGACATGGCTGCATGCAGCAAATTTCACTGGCCCTGCTCCCTTCCCAATAGGCACTTTTTTTTTTTTCTTGTGTGACCTAGAAGCTAACCAGAACCCCTACTGACAACAAGGTTAGAAACTGCAGTGCAGGTGGTATAGCATCCTTCCTCACCCTCCCCCAGTGGTTGGAGAGAGGGATGCAGATGCACAGGATTTAAACAGCTGTGGTGCCCTCCCCCCCAGATATTGAATCCAAACCAAGCAGCCTTGAGCTGTCTGGTTTTGGCAGAAACAATGAGTCAGTCAGATTAGGGACCACAGTACCACAGTACCAGTGGCGGTCGCACAGCAGCAACAGCAGAAGCAAAGGTGGTGAGTGTCATAGCATGACCCCAGCAACTAGTGGCTTGAGAGAATTTAAGCAACCTTGCACTGCAACACAGCAATGAGTGGGAGGTTGGCCTTTCCCCTACAGCAGAGGAGATCAAAGTGGAACCCGCTGTCTCTTCAGTGGCAGGAGCAGTGAGTCAGCCCACAGCACCCCACCCCTCCCTGCTCTGCCACAAGTGGCACAAGAGAACAGAGAAGAGCTAGTGGAAGTGGAGCAGAAGAGCCAACTATACATGGGGCTGGGAGCAGCCTTGGGCTATCTCTGTCTGAGGGTGCTACTGCAACTGGGCGAGTGACACAGAGACAAACAGGGTAAGGAGTGGGAGGCCGCCAAGGGGCATACAGGAAGTTATTGGCTGAAGACTCTGCTCCCAAGCCCTGCATCTGGAGACCAAGATCAGCACTGAACCCAGCACTAATCCTACTGCAGATCTGGTGGCACTGCTGCCTGCATGTCAAGCAAGGACTGCCATACTGGAAAGTCTCAGAGTCTGACTTGGACACTACCACAGAAGTGTGCACACCAGAGGAATTTTATTATTTTTTTCTTTGTTTTTCTCTCTGGTAGGTTTTTCTTTTTTTAACGTCATGTAGGGCTTTACCGTTATTTTTGTTCTGTTCTATTCCTATTCCTTCTCTCTTTCCTCAACTATCTCTCTTGATTTTATGATGTTTTCATGTGAGTGAACACTGTCTCTATCTTTCTGGTTCACTTTGATAGTCTTTTGCTTTCTCCTTCACTGTCTCTCTTCTGCCCGCTTCTCCAGTTTTGCAAAGCTTGTGTGATCATCCTTTGTCCTCCAGCCTTGTTTCTATTATGTTTCTCTTCATTTATCTCTCTGTTTGTCCCCTCTTCCTTTTAAATTTCCCCACCACAGGGTAAAATCACCCTACTAAGGGGAAACTCTGTATATAAGTTCTCGAATTATGTTAGATTTTGTTATGTAACTGTAGATCTTGCCCCTATGGTTAAAGGTACCAAATTAATAATTAGCACAGTTTGTTAGGTTCTATGCTCTGCTTGATTCTATTGTTATCGATAACTATACTGCTTTAACCAGGATGCCATACCTGTTGTAGTCAACTGTTCTCCCTTGTATGACAACACTATGATTATCTGGATTTGTAACCATCACCATAGTCTAGCACCAAAGAACTGGGTGGTGAGCCAAATAGATAGCAACATCTCATCCTTAATAAGTTGGAAAGGTAGGGGGCTGGGGATTTAGCTCAGCGGCAAAGCGCCTGCCTGGCAAGCGCAAGGTCGTGAGTTCGGTTCCCGGTACCGGAGAAAAACCAAAAAAACAAACAAAACAAAAAAAAATAAGTTGGAAAGGTAGGATCTTGGAACAGACACAAAGACCAGGAACCACCTACACCTAGAAGATATCTCTGGGGAACAGACATTTCCTAGGGAAGCCTTGATAAAGCTATCTACTATAAGTAACTTATAAGCATCAACACAGAAAACAAAATAAAATTAAAAATAGAAAATGACAAGACACAGAAGCAAAAGGCAACCCTGTGACCTCCAGTCCACCCAGGACAAATCCAGGGGACTATGAGATGGATGAAATCAGAAGCCAAACACCCAAATTTCCTGGAATAATAGCAGCAGAAATGAAAGCAAGTAAATAAATGTATGAGGCTATAGAGGAAATCAAATAAGAAACAATCTCTCAGGTGAAAAAAGAGATGACAACTATAATTAAGGACTTGCTCAGCAAATTTAGAATACATGTACATAAAAACATAGAGGAGTATAAGAAAAGGATAGCAACCATGAATGCCCAACATAGAAAAGAAATGGAGTCCATGAAACAGATTCAAAGAGATATCCAAGAAATTAAAAATTCCATTGAAAGTTTGGAAAACCAATTGAACAAAAGTGAAGACAGAATATCAGAACTAGAAGACAGTAGTTGATGATCATGAAAAAAAATCTCTTAAAAACATCAAGGGATAAGAAAAAACAGTTCAACAGCTGCAAGATGATGCAAAGAAGAACAACATAAAATTGATTGGATTCAATGAAAAAGCATACATAAGCACAAATGACATAAAAAGTAATGGCAGAAAACTTCCCAAACATGGAAAAAGAATTTGACCTACAGTAAATGAGGCATATAGAACTCCAATTAATCACGACAAAGTAAATCTACATCCAGACATATATTAATCAAGATTCCAGAAATTCAGCACAAGAACAGAATATTAAAACCTGTTAAAGAAAAGAAACAAATCAACTATAAAGGGAAATATATCAGAATTACATCAGACTTCTCAACACAAACCCTTAAATCCAGGAGAGCATAGAGTAAAGTATTTCAAGTCCTGAAAGAAAACCACTTCCAGTCCAAATTGATGTATCCTGCAAAACTAAATTTCAGATTTAATGGAGAAATCATATACTTCGATGACAAAGAGCAACTGAAGAAATTCATGACCACTGAACCCGCTTTACAAAGTATTCTGAAAGATATTCTAGAAAGAAACAACAAAGGCCACAATACCAAGAACACCCATAGAAAGAAGCCACCAGGAAAGGCAAGCAAATAAATAGAAGGGAGAGACTTTGTATAACTATCAATGCAAATGATCTCAATTCACAATTGACAAGAAGCAGACTAACAGACAGATTGGTTCAAGAGAAAAGATCCAACAATACGCTGCATACAAGAAATACATTTAACTCAAAAAGAAATTCATAGATTGAAAGTCAAAGGATGGAAAGCAATGCTCCATGTGACAAAAACCTGGAAAAAAGCAGGGGCCACTATTCTATTTGCAGACAATGTGAA